ATTTTGTATTTTAAAAGGTTAGACTAATAATTTAAAAAGTTTGAAAATTTTGGTTAATAAATTGTATTCACCAAATATGTTTCAAAATCATTATTGGATTGAATATATTTACAATGATCACACTTTCATTGACAAGGAGACACAGTTTTGTGACTTTTGCAGCACTTATTCCAACATTGTGATGGTATTGAATATGTTTAAAACTTATCGTTGTATGGGTTTATAGATGTCAAACTTCCATAGAGAATGGACGTAATTGTTGTGACTTTGTAGGGTCATGACTACATTATTTGAGGCTTCATTTCAGATTTGCGTGTGGTATAGTCATTACCAAGGAGTCAATTTATTCTCAAACTTAGTATTGTTGGTGACTCTGCATAGTGCGACATCTATTTGTATTCATCAATTTTAGAGCTATATCTCATGCGGTGTTTCCTCCTAAGGAAGATTACTATGGGGACAATCACTTTATTAACATAGGCAGGAAGGTGGCTTATTGTTAAGATCTATGTTTATGAACTTATTGTTAAAAGATACTATCAGTTGCTCTACTTTAGACGTGAATTACAAGTATTTATTAACTTGTCCAAATTCCGTGCACTCATATTTTACATAGTATATATCGTACTCAACAGATTTTTAGTTATTTTACAGTATGCGTCAAAAACTAATGCTTTTACGCTTTGATTCTATGCTTTACGATTTTACTCATTTCCGCTTCTAGGTAGAATCTCGCTTTTGACTGCATTGGATGCTCGCAAATCCATCTGAGGTAAACACTTATTTTATGGGAGCTAGAAAATTGGTATGAGTGAATGAGACTGTTCGGTTAAACAAAGATGGATAAGGAAAGACTGATCACGAACGGGATACTGAGAGTATGCTCGAACAACGTGAGTAAAAACACCTGCCGCATTGAGTGCAAAGGGGGAACTCATCCTATCAAACTCGTGTTGGGGAACAGGGTACTCTTAGACGCGAGACCACGAACCTTACCTCGCGGCGCCATAGCCCTCGGGGCTTCATCATCTCCAAATCGCCGCAGATTAGAGTTGGCAAAGGGGTGCATAGAATGGGACCCGGATAGTATAACAACAGAATTCATTAAGGGTATAAGGGTAAACTTACCTAAAATATAATAAAATTAAAATTAAATTATAATATCTCAATTTTCAGATCACTCTCGATCTCCTTTCCTACTCCGGCCCCAAATTCCTGCTCTTTCTCATCTGCAACTCCGCCGTTCTTTCTCCGACCAGAGCTTCGCGACCACCACTGTCGGCGGCGGCTGACGAGTTCGTCGAGGGGAACATGCAGTCCAACGGCGTCACCCAAACTCTGACTCTCCCATCTGCCCGGCCGCGAGAAATCCAGATCTGGCGCTTTCAATCATGCGGACGGAATAGAAAACAGAGAATCATTGAAGGTCGGGATCAAAATCGAGAGCGGTGTCGGTGGGAAAAGAATGAACTGTTACGGCGGAACCTAGAGCACAAGACGGAGATCGATCGAGCTGGAGGGATAGGATTTGCAGCATTCTGATGAATACCAGCCCCGCTCCGCCCTTCCTTCTTCTTTTTCCTCTCTTTCCCCGTTTCTAGTCATTGGAGTTATTTCCACCTCGCCACTCACAGAAATACAGGGAGGGAGAAAGAAAGAAAAGGAAAAAAAAGAGTCATTTTCCAGCCTGCAGCTTGGGGGTGGGGAATCTGTGTGGGTTTTTGGTGCTTGCTTTGCTTTGCTGAGAGAGAGAGAGATGGAGAAAGCTGTTCACTTTTTACCAGTGGGGAGATGAATGAAGGGGAAAGGGGGGGGGGGAGGAATATCCGGTGTTTAGGGATGGAGTTTGCGGCGGGCGGCGGCGGTGGAAATCAAATCAGTCGGCCAATCATTATCATTAATCATCGTCAAATCAAATTATAGCATACTATATACTGCTCGCGCTTGCTTGATTTTGGTTTTCCGGCCTTAATGTCGATTCCTGAATTAATTTCCCAACTGGAATTACTTATTAGTAGCATCTCATCTCCCATCCACCTTGAATTCAAATTTGATGAACGTGAAAAGATTAGTTGTTCCATTCACCCTCATTGCCGACACTATACTCAAGCTAGCTAGCTAGCTAGCTGGAATCATTACCACCATTACCATCAACTTCTCTTTCTACTACTACTTCTCTTCACCACCATTACCATCGTCTTCATCCACAAATATTTCATAAGCACACCAGAAATCTCATAATCCAGACCACACATAAGATAAAACAAACCACAAAAAAACATACCAGGAACCTCTTAATGCAAACCACAAGTCTCCTAAAACAAAGCAAAAACCTCTCAAACCAAACCATAAAATTCTAAAAAACACACCAGAAACCTCATAATGCAAACCACAAACTCCGTAAAGCAAAACACAAAAAAAAAAACTAACAAAAACCCTCCTAGTGCAGACCACAAATCCATTAAAACAAACCAGAAATCTCACAAATCAAACCATAAAATTTTCGAAAGCACACCATAAACGTCCTAATGCAAACCACAAATATATTAAAACAAACCACAAACCTCGCAAAGCAAACCACAAATATATTAAAACAAACCAGAAATCTCGCAAAGCAAACCACAAAAGTTTCGAAAGCACACCAGAAACTTCTTAATGCAAACCAGAAACCTCCTAATGCATACCACAAATCTCCTAAAACAAACCACAAACCTCACAAAACAAACCATAACATTTGCAAAAGCACACCAGAAACCTCCTAATGCAAATCACAAACACAGTAAATCAAACCACAAAAAAACAAACCATAAACGTCCTAATGCAGACCACAAATATATTAAAACAAACCAGAAACCTCACAATGCAAACCACAAAGTTTTTTAAAGCAAACCACAAACACGATAAAGCAAACCATAAAAGGCATAAAAAAATATGAGAAACCAAACCATAAATGTCACAATGCTAACCATAACATCCGGTGATCGTTGACCGTTGACCGGTCAACGAAGACCGTTGACCGAACTCCGGTGACCGTCAGTGAGCATATTCCGACGCCGATAGGCATATTCCGGCCCCGTTGACTAGATTCCGACGCCGGTAAGCATATTCCGACGCCGGTAAGCATATTCCGACTCCGGTAAGCATATCCCGGCCACAAAATAGTATATTCCGGCGACAAAAGCATATTCCAGTGACCGGCGACCGATGGCAGAATTCCGGCGGCCAAATTTTTGGGCAGAAAATAAAAAAAAAAAAAATTTTTTATTATTTAAACATATTTTTCATAATGACAATTATACCCCTGTTTTGATTTTACACTAGGTCAACTCAACTAATAAAAAGTCATCACATCCCTAGCTTCCTATTGGTTGGGGACTAGTGTTGTTACAATAACCATTCCCCATAGAGTGCCACCCAAACAAGAACGATGTAGGTCGTTATATACAGTTGGTCGGGTTGGAGATGAGAGGGTTCGAGAAGCGAAGATGATGAGTGATAGTCCCTCACAAAATCTGGACGAGGACGCTACCCTTGTTGTCGCTCGTATGTCAAAGGAGGCAACTCGCTGCAAAAGGTTAATTCTCGAAGAAAATTCTGGCGCGTGATAGATTTCACGCGTCATGAGTCGCTAAATTGCATTACTTCTACTAGTAAACAACTATGATAATTACTGGAATAATCTTCTTCTTATTCGTAACTGAACCACAAAATACATATTTATAGGGAAACACAAGAAAACCTAATAGCTAACCCTATCCCACTCCAACAAGGTAAACTAATAACTTCTTCAACATGTAACAATAAACTAATACGAATAACTCTAAATAACTCAATAATTAACTAACAATGATTAACTAATTACTAAGCCCACTCGGCATAAGGCCCATTGGGAGTTATAATGCACCAAACCTCCCCCCTTTGAAGAACTTCGTCCCTGAAGTTCATGCGACTTCTCAACCTGGATCGATAAGGAAGAAGCTTCCACGCAACTTGTAATGAGCAATAGTGAGGTTTGGACGACAACACCTGCGTTTGCGATACTTCCAATTAAGCTTCAGCACATCAATTGACTCCCTTTTTTCCTCAGCGTACATGGCTCCTACAACTCTGAACCTTACCTTTACGTCAATTGAATCAATTACATTAATACCATAGGGGGCGACGAAACTTGGTATAATTAGTGGGATGTTAATTTGTGCATGGCCACCGAAAATGCTCCCACCCTCAAACTCTTCCACTTAAAAGTCCCCAACACTTTCAATTCCAACTCCATCCTTCAAATACCCTTCACCTTTCCCCAATTCCATCCCATCATGCAAGAGATTGCTTGTCCACCAATCTTTGTCTTCCAAAAGCAACTCTCTATGCAACTCACGTATACCAATCCCGCATACCAATTCCCTTTTCCTTAATGGGGGTGACGAACAAATCATCCCCTGTACTCTTCCAACGATTCATCCTCCTGCGTGGATGGTAACCATCGCCCGCCATCCCAACTTTGGAAATCATCGTGACGACCAACTGCTTGGGTATTGCGTCACCTGCTGGTCTCGCCCTCTTCCGGTACTTCTTCCAAGTAAGTTTAATCAACAGCCAAAACGAACACGTACCAGCAACCGTACTTGCAGCAGCAAGGATAGCGGCAGGCTGGGCTTCATCGATGGCAGCAGAGACTTCATCTTCATTGGTCTCCACTGAATCAGCTAGGGCTCCAGCTTGTGACGGTGACTTGATGGTAGCTTCGACAACGGCGACGGCATCGCGTTGCTTCTAGCTCTTCCTCCTATGATAGAAGTGCTTCTCCCCTTTAAGGAAGCCGGTTGCAAAATCGTCAAGGTTAGCCCTGTCATCAACAACTCCAAGACTTGCCGACGATGGGACGAGCGATCTCCCGAGCTTGTGATATGAGAGGCCGGACTCACCGTTAATCCCGGCGAGGCCGAGACGGAACTTCTCAGTCCGTGTGGCATCCTCGCTAGTTGTCGTTGTTGGCGATTCAATCAGTGGTGGTGAGGCGGAGCTGCGGTTAGCTTTTCCCCGAATACTGGAGGATTGAGGGGTTCGGCAGCGGCTGTTGTCCTTTTATCAGGATCATTGAATCCCTGCAACTTAACCCATGAGCCCTTCTCTTTAAAACGAACGGTAGCCTTCTTCCAATTAAAAGCCATTGAACGCCTTCTAGCATTGGGCCCATACAAGTCGACTTGAAGTTGTACCCCCTGTATCTCAATTGGGACTACTGTATAGCATCGTTCGCACCATATGAAATCTGCATGGGTGGCCATCACTTTAAAAGGTTTAATCGGAGTAGCTCTTAAGAACAATTTCCCGACAGCTTCACAACTCACAAAATTGTGCGAGGATGTACTATCGATGAGGGCGGCCGCTGGCTGTTGATGGATGGTGGTGTCGAAGCGGATGATCGTGGGTCTGGAGACGCCAGTGAGAGCGGACAACGACATCTCTACATCGGCCGGACTAGGAAGTCCATCCGACGGTTCGTCAATCTCGGTCGGTGGGTCTCCATCGACAAGCTGGAAAGCTTCATCCCTCGACAACCTTCTACGTTCGTCCAATTGCTTCCGGATGGTAGAAAATCTCTCGTCGATCTGTGGAATGCGTGCCCTATAAGAGAGCATTGTCGAGCTCGGATCTTCGGAACAAGGCTCTGATACCAATTAGCGCGTGATAGATTTCACGCGTCGTGAGTCGCTAAATTACTTTACTTCTACTACTAAACAACTACGATAATTACTGGAATAATCTTCTTCGTATTCGTAACTGAACCACAAAATACATATTTATAGGGAAACACAAGAAAACCTAATAGCTAACCCTCTCCCACTCCAACAAGGTAAACTAATAACTTCCTCAACAAGTAACAATAAACTAATACGAATAACTCTAAATAACTCAATAATTAACTAACAATAATTAACTAGTTACTAAGCCCACTCGACATAAGGCCCATCGGGAGTTATAATGCACCAGATTCTGAGGATAAATTCACGTTCCAGGAAAGAGAGCTGACCTCCATGTGGAGTGCGCAGTCTGCTGATAAGGAGCATACAAAACTCCCCATGCATGGACGTGAGAGGGCGGCCCTTATGAAAGACAGTTGGAATAGAAACGACGAGCAAGCAACTAAGCCTCATCGAAGTGCTTGAATTACGTCCAAAGTTAAGGCCAGAACCGTGGAGGTCTCTCTATGGGGTGATCACGGCCAGGGTGCTCGCTCTCGCCGTCTGAACCTTCCTACGCAACGCGCAACAAGCCCTACTGTGGACGAAGAAGACGTGTTCCAAAAGAGAAGGACAAAAAAGGGGGTTTGTTCCCTCTAAGGTCTCGGATCAGGAAGACAGGGAGAACAAAGCGCAAGAGGAGTATGAGGGCATGCTCAAATCGACCTCACCATTGGGAACCCCGTTGCCTTCTTCGTGGACAAGGTCTATGTGGGTGCCTGACACGCTACGAAACAACACCAAACTAAGACCAAGTATAATTGTTGTCTGGATATCCAGAATAGTGCTTAAGTTTAATTTATCAACCCGAGGTCTAGATCTACTGCCTACTCCATGAACTTCTATTATCTAGCGAGACTACTTGAGTGAAGGTGAATTCCAACTAAACAGAAAGAAAGCAGTAAATTGTTTGAAGTTCTTAAGCAAGGGAAGAGTCACTCGGGATTGAGTCCCCCTGACTTGTTAGTTAGGTCCAAGTTGTAATTTCCTTTAGTTGATTTACTGTTAATTAAACTGCGAAAGATCCGACTGTAGCTTAGAATCTCTTAAGCTGACCAAGCCCTCTTAGACAGACTAACCGGCAGATGACTAGTCTTCACCGGGGTAGAATGCTAAGGCAATTAACACATAACTCCACTACTGGAAACAGATTCAAGTACAAATCAGTGAATTGAATGACTCTCGTACAATCAATTCCTTCCTCTCGATGGAAGAAGCTCTAACAACTTAATCAGATTTTATCTATCTCTGGTTGCAGCAAAAATCAAAAGAAGTTGATCAGGATTCAACTGACTCAATAAACACACTTTGGTCGATTAAAACCAAGCAGTATACCAATCCAAAAGTCATTACAACTCAAATCTCTAACACATGGAACTAGGGTTTTGCATACTCAAGTGAGAGAAAGATCTACTCCATAGAGAGAGAGAGTAGAAAATAACAATCAGAGGAATCATACTCATAATGATGTATACGATAAGCTTTGGGATGATAATCTTCACTCCAAGGTCGAAATCCAAGCTTGATTGATGAAACCTAGCTCCAAAGTCAATCCTAGAGTTTGCTCTTCACTCTTTCTCTCTCTAGAACTTTGTTTTTTTCTCTGAAAATTTCGATTCTCCCCCTTTTGGTTCGAAACTGCCAGTTTAACCCGATACCGGCAAAACACGGGCGTGGACATAGTCGTGTCCTTCTCATTCCGCCCGTGTTTTGCAAAGTCGTGTGGGAAACTTAGATCGATGTTGGGAAAACACGCCCGTTCCAACGAAAACACGATCGTGCTCAAGTTGGGGACATATCATATAGGCACAAAACACGTGAATCATACTAGCTTTTAGACATCAACACATGAACAACCTCAACAGCAACCTAGACAACCACCACAGATGACATTCGAGTGCAGCAAAATCGAGTAAAGAAAAAGTCTCCCTTCTGTTCACCAACCAACATGGACTTGACTTAACCACTTATTCAAGACAGTCAGCTCCTACATAAAACTCAAGACATCAGAGTCAAGATCGAGCAATGTACGTCCTCGCTGGGGTAAAGAATGTAAAGAATATAAGGAAATCAATTGCTCACTCTCGACCAGTGGGGTCTGGACAATTTGATGCGAAAGATTTACATGCTTCTTCTCTCAATCCTAACGTCTCTTCACTATTATGGAAGCCTCTAAAAGCTAGAGTTCACATATCAGTTGTTACCACTAACTAGTCATGAGGTCTTAGACACAGGTTCAGATGACTATCTAGGGTCTTGGACATGGGGAAAAGGCCTTTTAAGTGGTGGAAGAATTCATAACACAAGGTTCTGTAAGGATTATGAATGTTGTGTGTTGTATTAACATAGTGATTCAGGCCCAAATGTACACATTTTACCCCTCATTTCTTATTCGTTTAGCTTAGCATTTCATCGTTCCTCGACATATTTCACGCTAGGTTGTACTTGTTTTGATATATTTCAGGTCCTAGCATGTGTGGAAGGGTCGAGGTTGAATTTTAGGATAATTGGAGGTCAAAAAGTGCAGTGAAGTGAAGGCGCCCAGGAAACAGCCGCAGTTCACGGCCGGACAAGGCAGTTCACGGTCTCTAAGACCGTGAATTGGGGCCATTGACCGTGAACCCATACGAGTGAAGCGGCACGTTTAGGACGACGTTGAGTTCACGGACGCGTTTAGGAGTTCACGGCCGTTGTAGATCCCTAAAAGAAGAAGAAGAAGATCTTGAGCTCAAATTTGTAATCCCTCTCTCTCTCTCTCTCTCTCTCTCTCTCTCTAGAAACTCACTCTTTTCTCTTGGGTGTTGTAGTACCCTAACTACTACTTTGTAATAACTTGTTTGGATTGAATGATTAAGTGTGGGTTTGCATCAATTTGAGTATTAGAGGTATTATTCACCAAGATTTTGCATGCTTGTGCTTAGCAACTTAGGGGTTGTGCATATGTTGTGCTTAGTATCCTAGGTGTTTGTGCATAATTGTGCTTAGCACCCCTAAGTTTGTGCATTTAGGTGCTAGTAATCTAATTTTCCAACTTAGCCTAGTTTAGAGAGGAAAAACCCCCTTTTTAAGTAAATCCTTCCGCTTTCCAAGCCACCTAAACTAGGTTGAGTTAGGGCAATCCTCAATGTTGAATTGAACAAGTCGATTAATCATGGTTAAACTGTCCGACCTTAGAGTTGAGTGAGGAAGAAAGTCGAGTACCGATTCTCTGAACCGAGAGGGTCGAGTGACACGACCTTTCATCCTCACCTCGGTTTAGCAATCGAGACTGTGGTCTCCGACCACATACGCTTTCCTCTGCGGTTTGTGATTATCGTGCCCATCTAGGATGGTTGTGATTAAGCCGCTCAAACTCCGGTTTCAGGGAGAGACCTAGGAAACCACTAGTGACTGAGTGAGAGGATCGATCTCGTGACAAATTGACCTCGAGTGAATCCATCCTGTGACAAATGGATCACTAGTTACTCCTCCTAGTGGTTCCCCTATACTTGGTGAGTGGATCGATCCCGTGACAAATCAATTGCTAGTGAATTGATGCCGTGACCGATTGATCACTAGTTGCTCACCACCCGCGGTTCACAACCACCTATGCCACACGACTCCATTCAATCCAACGAGTGTGGTAGCTAGTTAGGGGAAAGAAACTCCCGGGTGAAGCTCCCTTAGTTAGAGTTTTCCTTTATTTACTTTTTCTTGCTAGTTTAATTTGTAGTTTTCTTAGTTATAAACCCAAAAGTTGCTTGCTAGATGACAACCTAAGCGATTGAAGTAGGGGTACATGGATCGGCCAGGGTTGACAATTTAAATGCTTGCTCTATACTGCACCCGGCTAGAGTTTGAAAACTTGGGCTCTAGTCGGGATTTATTTGTGGTGTAGTTTCATGCGAGTCACATAGAAGAGGGCTATTTATAGCCAAGGTTACATGAATACAGTACGTACAAGGAAAGGAAAGACTAATTACAATCCTACTAGAACTAGGATAAAGTCGCGCTCAATTCTTCCATCCGGGCGATGTTTGATGCGATACAACCACCGATTGCCAATGACGTTGTAGTAGACCTGGCAAATTAAAAATTCGACCCGTTGACCCGACCCGAAACCGCGCAAAAAGTAGATTTTTTAAACCCGAATGACCCGAACCCGATAATCCGTGTTTTTTTGGGTCGTGTTGGATAGCAGGTCGACCCGTTACATTTTATATATTACTCTCAAAATGATAAAATCACTCATAAATTGGTGAGATGTTTAAAAAAATTTACAAGGAATGGATTGACATGTTTGGAGTTTAAGGATAATTAAATATCATGTGTTTCTTGTAGTAGTATTACTTTTGTGATTGTTTTTTTGACACTTTGCGCAGTTTGTATTTCATTTCATTAGAATGGAGGATTTGAGATTATGTTAATTGACATGTGTTAGATAAACTATTGTCATGCACATGTGAAAATTTGTGTTCTTTAAGAAAATATGAAGCATCTTTGATATTGTTTCTAAGAGCGCTCATAACCTGAAACGATTTGTAACCCGACGCGAGACCGAATGGGTTGGGTCAATATTTGACCCGAAATAAATTAACCCAACATGACCCGACCCATAACCGGAGGTCCCAACCCGAAATTACCAGACCCAATTGCAGGTCTACGTTGTAGTGAGGAAACCGAGGAACAAGATCCCAGGTGCGGTTGGAACGTAAAGCGTCAAACTCAGCCCGTAGAGCATTGTTCCATTCCACATAACGAAGAGCTTCCTTAACCGACCTGGTTTCGAGAGGAGGAGTGACCTGTGTAGTAGATAAAGCTTGTGCATACTTGCGGTTAGGTTTATAAATGTTATCCTTAGCTCGAGTAACCATAGGGTGGGAGGGAGCCAGTGGTGCTGGACGAGCAGAAGAGGTCTAGGATGTGTCATGTCGAGGTGGGAGCTCTCCTGAGAAGGATCCGGCGAGGGGGTCACTGGCTGGCGGGGAGGAACAGGTGACGAGCTGGGCATAGTGGCGAGCGGAATAATGGTGACCGGGGGAAGACTTGCCACGAGCCAGGATGTGGAGGATGGGGTTCAGGTGAGGAGGGAGAGGCAGACACACCGGGGAATTCGGTTTCGACAAAGAAAACATGACGAGAGAGGGACAAACAATTAGATGTAGGATCAAGGCACTTGTAAGCACTTTGTTGATGAGAATAGCCAAGGAACACACAGGGACGTGATCACGGAATCATCTTGTGGGAGCTATATGGGCGGAGCCAGGGTAACATAGGCAGTCGAAGACTCGAAGTTTAGAGTAGTTGGGAGACTTATTAAACAAAATAGTGAAAGGTATGCTACCACGATGGATGACGAGGGAAGACGATTAATTAGGTAGACTGCGGTGACAAACGCATAGGACCAGTAGGACAGAGGTAAGGAAGCTTGATGGAGCAAGGTAAGACTGGTTTCTACTACATGATGGTACTTACGTTCGGTTACCCCATTATGATCTGGGGTTTAGGGAGGAGTGAGAAGATGGGTGATGTCGTGGGCGGCAAGGTATAAAGATGGGTGATGCCGTAGGGACTGAGTTTTGAGAAGACGAGCTAAAGCTTTAGATGAAGGATGGCCAAGACGACGATGTCAGGAGGTCGCAGAGTCTTGAGTGGTCACCGACGCTAACTTGATGGTCGACGAACAACTTGGGAGCTTGTAGGTGTCAACCTTGTTCCTTCCTTTCAGCAGTGGCGTCCCCGTATGAAGGTCCTTCACAAGAAAAAAATGAGCAAAAAATTCGACGAACACAGGGTTAGTTCGACAAAGCTTGGCAACGGAGATCAAACGTTTTTTAATGGCAGGTGCACAAAGCATATCACAGAAGATAAGCGAGTTGTTGTGAGATGAAAGAGAAGAGGAACCAATATGAGTGATCTTCAAACCTGAGCCATCGCCTAAGTAAACTTCATCCGGGCCATTGTAATCCGAGTAGAGTGCAAGATTACCAAGATCATTGGTGACATGGTGAGTAGCGGCCGAGTCCATGAGCCATGCATCACCATCACGAGAGGAAGAGGGCGTCGGGCGGTTAACATGATGTGCTTGAGAACGTTTCTGTGGGTGGAGTTGGTAGCATTGCTTCGTGGTGTGACCCAGCTTGTTACAATACTGGCAAAAGACACGAGAACGACGTTGATCACCATCATCAGGGGAGCTGGCCATGTCCTAAGAGGAGGATGAATCAGTGGGGCGAGGTCCATGCCCAACGCCGTGGTTAACACAACCACGACCTCGGTTGTCGTGGCTACGTTGGGTATTGTAGGCTGTCGCTGGAGCGGAGGATCGGCGAGCCTTGAGGGCAGCCGAGAGAGAAACAAGACAATCAACAAGATCGTCGATGTTGGGAGGGTTCTCTTGAGCGCGAATGGCAGCTACAAATTTTCTATACTCATCCCCTAGGCCATGGAGACAGTAGGTGACCAGCTCATCCTCATGAACTGGCATTCTAGTGAGCGCCATCTCAATAGCGATGGAGTGAAGAGAATGGATGAAGGTAGCGACATCATGGTAGCCCCATTTTTCAGCAATAAGGCGGTCGTGAAGAGTGATAACGCGAGAGCGAGAGGCGTTGGCGTACATCCGAACCAACGTTGACCAAGCCGCTGCTGGGGAAGGAGCAGCACTTATGAATGGGCAGCCTGTCTCAGAAATCGACGCGAAGAGGCTGTTGAGCAGGAGCTTGTCCTTATGAAACCAGTGAGTGTAGCCGTGTAGGCTAGGTTCCGTGACTCAACGCCGTTGACACTGACGCGTCCTGAAGGAGGAGTTGTGGTACCATCAAGATATCCGACAAGATCAAGTCCTTGAAGCAAGGACATGAGTTGGGCACGCCATGACAGAAGGTTTGTCGGCGCGAGCTTTAGCAGGAGGTTGGCTATCGGATTGATGGTGACGAGGGCAAGCAAAGCAGCATTTTCGATGGGACTGGTATTGTCATCGGAGGTAGCGGAGTTACCTTCAAATATAGTGAGCAGGTAGAGGGACCAGAGGGCGAGCACTGAACGTGGGTGTGCCATCGAGAAGCTGGACTGGAAACTCTAGGGTTAGAGTGCAGGCTCGGATACCATGTAAGTATTATGAATGTTGTGTGTTGTGTTAACATAGAAGAGGGCTATTTATAGCCAAGGTTATAGGAATACAATACGTGTAAGGAAAGGAAAGACTAATTACAGGAGAGAACCTACACCTCTGCACATTTTTTCAAAAACATGCCCAACTTTTAAGAACTACCTCCAACCCTCATATTATTTCTAGCAGAAACAACAGAGAACATGCAAAAACCACTATGTGGAACCTCTATGAGATGCAAAAGGGTGATCGTTCATTGTAGACCGAAAGAAATAAAGTTACACGACTCAAAGGGGCTGACTAGGGGGTATGACAACGGGATAGTCAATTTGGTCATGGGCTAATCCTATTCCTCCATCATTTTAACTATTGACAACATGAATGCTACACATCATGGAAGAGGGATCTATCGAACGAGAAAGAAATGAGCAGGCTCAAATCTCACATGGCTACCTATATGCTATATCTCTCATTATGATTCCCTGATTTAGATGCATAAATGACTGTAGAAAATAAGTGATGAATCCAAGTCGCAGTTGGTAAGCAAACAGGTTATAAATGGAACACCTACACAACTCTACTGCGCGTCTCAGTCATCCCTATAGGTTGTCCAAGTCACAATCAAGTTGTCATGCATCAATATTAACAGTCATTCCATTCACCACCTAAACCACAGTGCCAAGTTGTCATGCACACAGACATATGTTCAAATAAATACAAAGCACCCCCCACACTTAAGTTCGACATTGCCCTCAATGGAGCATAGGGAAGGGAAACGATGTTACCGGGAAATGATGAGCATGAACGAGGACTAAAAGGCAGACCAATTAAGAGTAGGGGACTAGAAGGGGCCAGTCCTAAGGGCTAAGGGCATAGAGCCAGAGTCAAAAAAACACACACACTGGGTAAAAGAAACCATAGTTCCAAGTCTACAATCCAAAGAAAAAGAAAAAAAAATCGACACGGAGTCTCAGTCTGGAAGGAAAGAAAAGTACATAACCCAGCATCTCGTGGGGGATTAGTCGGAGCCAGCCAAGGGCTCATCGCCACCATCTCCAGCTGGAGGCGGGTAGTTATCCTCATGCCCCGGGAAAGCCTGCTAGGGATAGTGAACAACAGCAGGGTCCATGTCGTAGTAGTGCATCATATAATGCTGAGCCAAAATGATACGGCGACGACCATCACGCTCCCGATTGAGAAGGGTGTTGAGGTGCTCCTGGCTATCGAGAATGAGCTCGTTCTGACGAGCAATGGCCGCCAGCTGGTCAGCAATGGACACCGCGGGGGCGCCAAACGACTCAGGTGCAGCGGGAGAAGGACCACGAGTGGATGGGCACGGCGGGCTTGACAACGGACGCCACCCAGCAACACTCGACTCCGGCTGGTCGACTTTGGCTCGTCGGCCCCGGCAGGGGCAAGCGCATGTGGCTTAAGAAGCCCCTTGATCCATGTCAGAGGGCCATCATGCTTGATAAAATGTTGATTCCTGAGAGTAGCTTTGCCAAGGGGAGTCGGGCCGCGGATCACTGTCATGCCAACAATGTCAACCTTATAGTAGCGGGCCAAGGCCGTAATCAGCAGTCCACAGACAAGGAAGCGATCCTGAGAAGCCGAGGCCTTAGCAAATGTCTGGGTGACAACAGAGCCCAACTGTATAGAGTCTTCCTCGAGGACCATCGAGTGCATGAAGTACATAGTCCGAAGGGTGACACGGTTGGCGGAGCCCCAGCTGGGTGTGTATGATTGGGTGAGCAGATGGTTGAGGATCCACTACTCTGGACGGAGGAAAGTGGCCCGCGTCTGGCTAGTTGTGTCCTCCTCATCCACCCGCTCTAGGAGGCAAATGCACTCGAAGAATGCTTGCTCCTCAAAAGAGGTGGGGTCGGTCTCTTCAAGGGCTAAAGAGCTCTCGCTGGTGTAAGGGGAGTTGCGGTCGAGTGCATTGGACAAAATCTAAATCATCATGGAGCTAGGGTGTTTCATATTATTAGAAACATAGAATTAGCACCTTGGCGGTGGCGAGAAAAGGTCTATTCATAATTAAAAGCACATCCACATCCTCATTAATATCAAGAATAAAAAAATCTACAAGATATGAGAATGGCCCTACTGCGACTATCAAATCCTCTACAATGCCCCTAGGATGCACAATGGATCTATCAGCTAATTGAATGCTCGTCCTAGTGTTACTGGGTACACCTAGGCCTAGCTTTTTAAACAGTTTATATGGAATTACGTTTATGGAAGAGCCTAAATCCGCCAAGGAATTTCCTACATGCAAACTACCAATCATGCTAGGGATAGTAAAAGTCCCTGGATCTTTTCGCTTCTCTGGAAGCTTGTTTTGCAGGATGGCAGAACACTCCTCGTTGAGCACTATCGATAGCTCCCCAAGCTTCCTCTTGTTGGTGAGGAGATCCTTCATGAACTTCGCATACTTAGGCATCTTTGACAATGCCTCAACCAAAGTAGTCAAAATCAGGATTTTACCTAAAATCGAAAACTGGGGTAAAATCGAAATGATAAAATCGAATCGTAGAATCGTAAGATTTTAAGTACCATATAGAAACTAAAATATAATCATATTAATAAGGTGAATCATTAATAACACAAAGACACATTACCTTTAAAATGATAATTCTCAAGAATAATTTTCCAAAATCATCATTTCAATTGTTATTTATGCTTACTTCAAAATAACTCATGAGGAAGGGATAGAGCTCATGGGATTTGATTATTGTTTATCATATTGTGTCTAGGTAGTTTAACTCAAAGTAGTATTCCGACATAATCTACTAAGCATGATTTAAAACTAATAATAAGTGAACTACAATAAAATAAATAATGTCAATGATTTGGTACAAATATATTCATTAATCAATTAATTTGTTAATAATGATGTTAATTTACTTACAATATTATGACAACTATTTTACAGATGAATTAAACAAGGGGAAGGGGAAGGGAAAGGGGTTGACTGAGCCCTAATGTGGTTTTTTTTCTTTTCAAATGTTCTTTCAATAGGAAAAGTATCTGAGAAGATCCCCCTTCATTGCCCTTTCCGAGAAACAGTTCTGATGCTTTCAAATTGGCTCAAACCGCCTATTTTGTTCACATATGATCAAAATCCCGATTTTGTTACAATTTTACGATTTTAATCCCGATTTTAAGGATCGGAATCTCTAAGTAAAATCCTAAATTCCTACAATTTTATGATCAAAATCCCGATTTTACGATCAAAATCCCGATTTTGACTGCATTGCCCTCAACAAAAGGCATATTGATCTTCACCTGCTTCAGTCTCCATTCGGTCTTTGTGTAATCGAGTAAGGAAAGGATGCTGAGGAACATACTCCTTCACCACTGTTTGTGTCTCGGGAACATGCACCTCAATTCCCTTTTCCTTTTCCTTTTCCTTTTCCTTTTCCTTTTCCTTTTCCTTTTCTTCCTCTTCTGCTGGAAGTGTTGAAGCATGTCTCTCTCCCTCCTGTATGGCCTAGACAGGTGGGTCTGCAGTCACTTTGTCGCTCCTTGTAGTGACAGCATGGGAGTGGGCTTTCGGGTCCTTTGGATAAGGAATGGTATGACCCGGTAAAGTGCCTGGTTCCCTCTGCATAACAGCTTGAGCCACACCTTCAAGCTGGGTTTGGATATCCCTCATAACAGCCTGTGTGTTCCTCTGGCCAACTTCAAGCTCCATGAACTTAGTTAAGGCTTTATCCATGAATTGCTCGATGTTGTTAAATTTTGTCGCACTTGAACTAGCTAGAGAACCCACCAGATCCCGCAGTTGAGCCATCGGATCAGTCTGCACTGGTGCATCAGGAGATGTGCCCGGCTGCTGAAAAGGTCTCGACTGCGGGTAAGGAAGAGCTTGCCCTTGACTGGTCTGATAAAGAGGCTACTTGATTCAGACCTAATTGTACACTTTTTATCCATGTTTCTCTGGGATGTTGATTGCAATTGATCTCCAAAAGGGGTGGTTTTACGTTAGGTTTCATGTGTTTCAGATTCTAACAGGTGAAACCAACCCTGTAATCGAAAGTTGGAAGAAAAGGAGCAAAGACCGGGCAAAGAGGAGGAATTAGCATGTGTTTATAGTCTTCCATTGGAGTTCACGGTCTGCAGGACTGTGAACTGGAGCCACAACCCGTGAAACAAGAAGTGTCCAGAGGGGATTCTGAGGTTACTGATTCTAAGTCTGTTCACGCTCGTAAGACCGTGGACTCAAGAAGTGAAGTAGTGCGTCTTGGTTCAGCACATTGTGTTTACGGACGCGTTTTGATGTTCACGACAGTGAACTTGGCGCGATCTCAGTATAAAGATCTAGCTGAAAGGAAGAAGGGAGGAGAGAGACCTAGTGTGAGAAACTTCTTCTTCTTCTTCAGATTTTTAGAGTGAGAAAATGAAGAACCAAAAAGAGGAGAAGCTAGGGTTTCATGTCCAAGCAAGGATTTGGGAATTCCTCCCCCAAAGGAGGACTTCTTCAACACAAGAAGCAAGGCTAGCATCTCTTTGATGGTTTTCCTTCTTCTCTCTTTTGTTTTCCCCTCTCCTAGCATGGAATAGTCCCTTCTTTCACATTGGTGTTTGTAAACCCTAGCTACAATTATGTGAATGCTTGTATGAATTGAATGATTTGTGTGTCGTTTTGTTTAATGTGAATGTGGATGTATTATTCATGAATGATTGTGTTGTATGAAAGCATATCAATCTAATTGCCATTCTAACCTAGGTAGAGAGAAACCCCCCCCCCCCTCCTTTCTTTGAAAGAGGCTTGAATGCTGGGTTTTCTTGGGCAATTCATTGTCTCCTAGTTAGGTTAACGCAAGGCAAACCTCCCATTTCGTATTAGCACTTAGGGTTTGGTTGTGGGTGGCCGTCCGAACTCCAATTTGAGGGTGAAGTTTAACATTCCTTATTCAATGGGTTGAGAGAGTCGCATTAGTGACTTGGATCATATCCCTTTCCTCGACCTAGAGACTAAGAGGGTAGCTTTGGCTACTAGTTAGACTTCCCTATGGTTTATAACCCCCTCACCACACATGGTCATTCGATCCATCAAGTCGTAATTGTTAGCTAGGGAGAGCAACACCCGGGTGAAGATTTATCAATTACTGTCAAAACAATTTCATCTTTGCAAAGTACTTTAGTTTTAGATCTTTTGTTTCACCAAAACTATCCGCTAGATAATGTGTCAAACAATCTAAGTAACGGTACATGGGCCGGCTCGGTTTGATGTTAAACCATACTTTCCCTATATTGCACCCATCTCAGGTTTATACTTGGGCCTTAGGTGGGATTTTATTGTGATAGTCAGATCGAGTCACTACTGCTGGAATTGCCCCTGCTTGGGCGGGTATGGCGGTCTCTGGCCTTAGGTGGGATTTTATTGTGATAGTCAGATCGAGTCACTGTTCCTGGAATTGCCCCTACTTGGGCGGGTATGGCGGTCTCTGGAAGCCTAGAGGCCCCTAGGAGACTGGTGGCTTAGGAGTTCTGCCACTCCAGGAGAAGTTGGGGTGTTGGCGCCACCCCTCATTATAGGTGTTGTTGTAGGGGTCAAAACGCCTGGCATTGCCGATGAAGTCCAACTAATCCTGGGGTGTAGTCGACTCCCTCATTGCCTGACAGTCTTCCTCAATATGATGGGAGCTCTCGCACCACTGCAATGCATTGCATGCTGCTGCCCTGTCCCTAGAATCATCCCACTACGATCGATAGTTGAGACCAGCTTAGACACAACCTGCACCAACTCAGATGACTGGGTGTCCACAGCATGTACACCCCGGCCTGGTGCTCGCCAGGACCTCCTAGCAGTCCTCCAAGCATGTTCCCGCCGCAGACCGAGTCAATCAGTTGCTTGTCTTCATGAAAGAGAACCCGGTAGAAAGTTCCCACCTTGAAAGCATCGTTGAAACCATGATTGGGACACTTCAGGAAGAGACTGGTGTATCTCTCCCACGCGACCCTGATGGTTTCATCCTCTTCATGTGCAAAATGGGTGATCTCCTTCTGCAGGTTCGCTGTCTTAAATGGAGGATGATAGAGGGTCAGGAACTTGTCGGCCATGCTAGTGAATGTAGAAATCGACCCCGGAGGTCTGTCGTCCAGCCACGCCTTGGTTTGTCCCTCCAAGGTGAAAGGGAAATACCGCAGCTGAATGGCGTCATGCGGGCACCGTTAATCTTGATTCCATCGATCAGCTCGTGGAATAGTCGCAGGTGGGCTCTGGGGCACTCGTCCGATTTCCCATGGAATACCACCGAGCCGCGAGCATGGTGATGATGGAGCTTTCATGGTATGCTCATCGGGGACAAGCTACCCGTCATTATTGGGTTCACCCATTTCATCCTCCTGGTTGATGGTCAGCTGAGCAAAATCTTCCTCTGCAACCAATCGCGCCTTTAAAGCTCTCTTGAAGTTCAGATCCTTTCGAGCTCTTGGTCCAATGGCATAGTAGATCTCCCGACTGGCTAGGGGTCATGCTAAAGTAACAGACTATCATGTTTCTACAATAACCTAGAGGCTCCCCGGCAACGGCGCCAAAAACTTGACACGCTACAACACAACACCAAACTACGACTAAGTATAATCGATGTCTTGAAATGCAGAATAGTGGTTAAGTTTAATTTATCAACCTGGGGTCTAGATCTACTGCCTACTCTGTGAATTTCTATTATCTAGCGGGACTAATTGAGTAAAGGTGAATTCCAACTAAACAGAAAGAAAGCACTAAATTGTTCGAAGTTCTTAGGCAAGGTAAGAGTCACTCGGGATTGAGTCCCCCTAGCTTAGTTAGATCCAAGTTGTAATTTCCCTTAGTTGATTTACCGTTGATTAAACTGCGGAAGATCTGATAGTAGCTTGGAATCTCTTAAGCTGACCAAGCCCTCTTAGATAGACTAACCGGTAGATGACTATTCTTCACCAGGATAGAATGCTAAGGCAATTAACATAGAACTCCACTACTGTAAACAGATTCCAATACAAAGCAGTGAATTGAGTGACTCTCGTACAATCAATTCACTCCTATCAATTGAAGAAGATCTAACAACCTAATCAGATTCTATCTATCTCGGGTTGCAGCAGAAATCAAAAGGAGTTGATAAGGATTCAATTGACTCAATAAACACACTTCAATCGATTAAACCAATCAGTAATCAATCCAAAAGTCATTAGAAATCAAATCCCTAATACATGGAACTAGGGTTCTTTCATACCCAAGTGAGAGAAAGATCTACTTCATAGAGAGAGTAGTAAACAGCAATCAGAGCAATCATAGTCATAATGATATATACGATAAGCTCTGGGATGATAATCTTCACTCCAAGGTCGAAATCCAAGCTTGATTAATGAAACCCAGCTCCAAAGTCGATCCTAGGGTTTTTTCTTCGCTCTTTATCTCTCTAGAACTCTTTTTTTTCTCCAAAAATTCGATTCTCCCCCTTTTGGTTCGAATTTGCCAGTTTAACCCGATACCGGCAAAACACGGGCATGGACACGGTCGTGTCCTTCTCATCCCGCCCGTGCTTTTCAAAGTCACGTGGGAAAACTTAGACCAATGTTGGGAAAACACGCCTATTCCAAGGAAGACACGGGTGTGCCCATATGAGGGACACGGTCGTGTTTCAGCCACGACCGCCCGTGTTTTGCATTCTTCAGCAGCAGTCACACATCAACTCTCGGATGGCTTTCGAGACCTCTTTCTCGGATGGTGAGGATGAAGGCTTCGAGATTAGAAAATGCACTCCCATTGCTAATGGAGAAAAGATTCGTCAAGCCACTAAGGGGCAGGTTCGCCAAGTGGTGGCTGCCTTCGAATCCGGCCTGGTTATTGATAAAGAGGGAGAGGCGTAAGTGAATGCTGAATATGCGGAAAGTCTCCAAGGAGAGGAAGAGAAGCTGCATTCAAAGTTAAATGAGTATGGATCGAACATGATGGATCCTGCTATTGGGGGTAAAAATGATCATTGGATGAGGTGGAGGGCGGGAAGGATGATACCCCTACACCAAAGAAGCAATTCGTGGAACCATCGGAGAGCAATGATATGGGGGAGGAAGCTAGCCTAGAATGGCTGCAAGTGGATAAATGAAGCTTTTTGGTCTGGAATGTGAGGGGAATTGGACCATCACTCACATTCCAAACTGTTGTAGCCTACAACATCAAAATCGTGATTTTACATAAAATCAAAAATTGAGGTAGAATCGGAATCGTAGATTAAAATAGTAAGATTTTAAGATTCATATTAACAAACATTTAAAAACACCAGATAGTAATAACAATGCATATCATGAATAAAATTCAATCACATATAACCTAATTACTTACCAAGATAAGTTTGTCTGCTAAATAAACACAACTAAACCCATAAATTTATTCATGTACACAACATAAACACACAAATAAGCAACCTCAAACATCATAAAAATAAATTAATTTAGCTAATAGTTAAGATTATAAAATTACATAAAATCGTTAGAATCAACATTAACATCCCTCACACATCAGTATCCTCGCCCTTACTATCATCCTCGAAGAATCCTCGTCTATTTGCTTGAGGAATGATATCATTATTCTCAGGATCACTTGAAGTACTTTCACCATTAACCATATTTTCTTTATCACCATCATCTGGCAAAGGTAACTCACTAATTGATACATTACCTTCTTAATCGATTAAAGGTTGGGGATAGTTGTGTTGAAGGACTGGAAGATGAACATCAAATGGAATGGAGATTGGATAATTGTTAGGGTGGTGGTAGAAAAACTACGAGCTAATTGGGAGGGTGAAAGAAATTGTTGATGGAAGGAGTTGGGCGTTGGCTTGCATAAGAGAAAGATATGAGGAAGAGAACGTAGATAAATTGAGGGTCGCCTATCGAGTTAGGGTTGTGTTGTTCATTATGTTGGGTCGGGTGAAGTAAACTAGACCAGGTTCATGGGCAAAACCCAACCTGACCGGCCTAATTTTGCTCCAATTGACATGAACCTTGAAATTGTACAAAATCGTAGAAATCAAAGATTTTAAGGATTTTAGTGTTTTAAATCGGGATTTTAAGGTTCAAAGATTTTATAGTAAGATCAAGATCAGGCTACATTAGTAAAATCAAAAAACTGTAAGATTTTAAGACTAAAATCAGGATTTTGACTACATTAGTTGTAGGATTGGTTCATTCGAATAAACCAAATTTCGTGTTCTTTTCGGAGACACGGTCGCGCTAGAAAGTCGTTTCCCAACATATGTTGGTTTTAGGTTTTAGTTCTTCCCATTGTTTTTTTTATGATGCTTCTAATGCATCAGGTGGTTTGGTCGCTGCTTGGTCCCCTGAAGTTGATGCTTCTGTGTTTTTTCATTCAAACTTTTGCATTAGTGTCAAAATTAATGAAATGGACTTTTCGTATCCTGTGCTTTGAGTTTACATTAGTTGTGATGACTCTACTCGTGATAGCCAACTGGTACACATTCGAGAAATTTGTGAAGAAATTAGTTTACCCTTTGTGGTAATAGGTGACTTCAATGTGACTCTTCAAGCGAGTGAAAAGGATGACGAGAATATTTTGAATTGGACCAAGTCTGTTTCCTTACGAAATTTTGTTCATGACCTTTACCTTCACGAGCCTGGCTATTATGGAGACCAATTTACTAGGACAAACAAGCGTTTGGGTGCGGCTTGTGTTCGAGAAAGACTGCATAGAGCTCTTTGCTCATATAATTGGATCGACCAATTTCCGGATACCCTTGTTAAACATTACACGGACGAGGGATCTGATCATAGGTCTTTGCTTTTAGCAGATAAGCCCTACGTCTGGAATAGTCAACCCCTTTTCCGGTTCGATGCTCGTTCGACTGAAAATCCTAAGGTTAAGGCCATGGTGACCTATGTCTGGTAGCAGGTAAACCAGGGAACTTTGATGTACCAGCTCTGCGAGAGGCTTTAGAAATTATGCCATCTTCTCTATGACTAGAGTAGGGTGGGTACTACTAATTCTCTTTGGAACATAGAAACCCTCCAAGCTCAAATTGATCGAATCAAGTTAATTCATCCTATTAATATGGATGAAGTGAGATGCTTAGAAACTGAGTTAAATAGGCAATGGGAGGCAAAGGAGGAGGAGGATGAGTATTGGCAACAGAAATCTCGAGTCCGATGACTGAAAAGGGAGATAAAAATACTTTGTATTTTCATACGGTTACAAAGGCTCGTAGGAAACAGAACTTTGTGGCTAGTTTTCGCAATGATAATGTGGACTGGGTCACTGAAGAGACTGGGAAGGCAAACATTGCCTTTCATTTTCATTAAACTCTTTTTACCTTTGAGAATTAGGTGATGAACCTGAATAATCGGGTGGTTGGCTTTCCCATAGCCCATAGTGTAACCCCAGACATGAATGCTACTCTCACGACTGAAGTCCTGCCTGATGAAGTGAGAAAAATAGTCTTATCCATGGGATCGAAACAGGCTCCAGGTTCTGATGGGTTCACTGGAAAATTCCTCAAAGAATTCTGGGATATTGTTGGTAACTCTGTGATTGAGTCGATATGCTCTTTCTTTTCAACAAGTAGGATGTTGCGTAGCTTTAATAATATTTGGCTGACATTTATCCCCAAAATGGATAATGTGGAGACCATGAGTCAACTCCGACCAATCCGTTTATGCCAATTTGTGTACAAAATTATAACAAAGATCATGGCAGAAAGACTGGCCTACCTCCTACCTCAGATCATTTCGGTAGGTCAAAATGTCTTCATCTGGGAACGACAAACTGTTGACATTATTTTCCTCGGGCATAAGTTAATGCACTACTTGAAAATCAAAATGCGAGGTAAGAAAGAGTACATGGCTCTAAAGATTGACATGGAAAAGGCCTATGATAGAATCAAATGACCATTTCTTCTTGCAATTTTGGAAAAGATGGATTTTAACTCTATATGGAGAGACTGAGTACATGAATGTCTCAAATAAAAAATGATTTTCGGTTCTCATGAATGGCACACCTTCGGATTTCTTCTTACCCTCTAGGGGGCTCTGGCAGGGGGATCCGCTCTCTCCTCTCCTATTTGTGCTTTGTACGGAGGTGTTTGCGGCGCTCCTCCGGAAAGCTATCATGGAAGGGAAACTCAAAGTGATCAAACTGGCACCTAGGGCTCCTCGTATCTCACATATGTTTTTTTCGGATGATTATTATTTATTCCTTAGAGGTTTTGTCCAGAATTATGAGAATTTGATTGAGGTTCCAAATGAATATGAGGAACATAGCCGCCAAAGGGTGAATTTGGTTAAGTCGGCTGTTTGCTTTAGCAAGAATATTGCATTGCCAGATCAAGAATTCTTGGCATAAATTCCAGGTGGTGGGCTGGTGGGGGTCCATGACAAGTATCTAGGATTACCTTCGCTGATAGCCCAATCTTGGAGGAGAAATTGTTGGCACGACTGTAAGGCTGGAAACAAAGGACATTGTCTTGGGAGGCTAAGGAAACTTTGATTAAATCGGTCGCCGAGCCTTGTTATTACATGTTATGTAATGTTTCAAATTGCCCCTGTCGCTTTGTCGGCTCTTGGACAGACATGTGGCCAGGTTTACAAAGGGAAGTATTTCCCTACTGGGACATGTATCCTGTATGGCCAGGAGTTATTAGTGAAGGATTTACGGTGGCGGATTGGCAATGGTCAAAAGGCTTCTCTGCTGCACTCCAATTGGATCCCGCGGTTACATCCTCAACCCCCTCAATATAACCCTCAAGTACTCCCTGGTGATGGTGACCCGCCAGTACCGGAGGTTATATGCAAGGGGAGGGGGCTATGGTGTGACCTGAAACTTAGGCAGTGGTTTGACCCACCAACGTGTCGGGCCATCAAAGTTGTTCCTCTTCCTCGTCAAAATGTGGAGGATCAGTTGATCTGGCATGCCACGACGGATGGGGTCTTCACTATCAAGTCGGCCTACCATTTTGTTGTCTTATTAGATAAGCAAGGTGGGCATTTGCGATCAACGATTAGTTGGATGGATAGGCCCAGCTGGATTCGGTTGTGGGAGTCCAATATTCCACCAAAGCTGAAAATGTTTGTATGGCAAGTCTTAAATCGCATCCTCTCTATGATGGAATCCCTAATTGATAAGAATGTCCAAGTGCTTCCCCAGTGCCCGGTTTGTTGGGAGGACTTGGAAACGATGGAACATTTGTTCCTTGATTGCCTAGTGGCTCGTGCCTTATGGGATCATTCGGGGCTTAAATATATTGGTCATGTGTTGCCTCATCACACTTTCCCCCTCTTCCTGAAACAGGTAATGATGCTCATAAATCAGCCGCAACTGTTCATGGCGGTTGTGGCGGTTCTTTGGAGAATATAGTATCCCATCTTCCATCCCAACAACTCATAATCTGGGCATTGTGTCTCCGAACTCGATCGTCTGTATGTGGGATAGAGCCACTAGTAGTGGATCTCATTCGGCAGGCGGGATGGTTGTCCTGAGTCATGATGGGACAATCCTCTTGGATAAAGGCATGAAATTTTCGGAGATTTTTTATCCTATGGTTGTTGAGTTGCTTGTTCCTCGCAATGCTATTCTCTGGTGTTTAAGCCAGGGATTCACGCAGATAAGGTTTGATGGTGATGCTTAGGTAATTATTGATAAGATCAATCAGCCAGATATCCAGGACAATCAAATGGGGGCTATTTTGGAGGAGATTGTTGGCTATTTTGCGGTGCATATTAGGTTTAATGTTCGATTTGTAGGTCGCCATAGTAATAGGATAGTCCTTTTCGTGGCTAGAAAGACACATTCTTTGTAACCGATTACGAGTCGTTTATTTAATTTTTTGTACTGACTTCGGTCGAGGATGTAATTGCCTATTATTTCAATAAATATACGAAACAATTATTAGAAATGGGTGAAAAACAACTCACTAAGATGAAACAATTATACCATTTTTGCCGTGAGCGACACCCATTATATTAGTCCTTTTAATGCAAAATTAAACAAAATAAAATAAAATGAAATTAACCAATTATGTAAATATTATTCCCAACGAAATGGACGCATTTATAGAAGGAAGAGGAATAGGAAAAGTGCTAAACTTACTGGGGTGACCATAGTAAAACTGAGAGCGGATCAGGTCAGTAACCATGAGTAACTCGTCTACATTAGCCTGACATCAGCATCCCTCTCTCTCATAGAAAGTCTTTTATCTTTTCCCCTTTAAATTTTAATGGACGATTTCTCTCTCATTTTAAG